CAATTGCAATAAAAAAAATACCATAAGGCTGGGTTGTAATTCAGTGGCAGAATGCATGCCTAGCATTATGAAGCTTTGGATTTCTTCCTAGTCTTGCACAAACTAAATAAATCAATAAAACAATAAAGTAAAATAAAGTAATGAAATATCAAGGATTATTTTGCACATCCAACACTAACACCAAAGACTATGTTCGGGTCCCTGAATCCATTTTCAGTTTTATCTTTCGCCACTGGACTTCCAAAGACATCATTGTCATTTTCAGACTAACTGCTGAAAATGCTCAGACTTCCCCAAAGCAGATGGCCAGGCCGGCAGGCTGCAGGCACTGAGCACACCATAGGGGCTGACAAGACAGGGTGGCAGTGTGGCATGCCAGCTCTGCCCACCCTCCCAGACTGCCTGACCTGGCCTGGACAAGGCAGCCAGCAGCACCTGTTGCCTGGCAACCTGGCAGGGAGATCCGCCCTGCTTTGAAATTGGGTGATTCTAGCATTCCTTAGTACAATCAAGGAATCCCACTCCTCCTGGCCCTGTATCATTCACTGGGTCAAGAAAAAAGGATCAGTATTTTCTGGGCAAATTCAAGAGCCTACGAGATGGCCAATCTGGCCACAAAACTCTGAACTTGTAGTGTTTTTGAATGCAGCCTGTAATGCTGTCTTGCTCAGGGCAAAATACCTGCTCGGTTGTCCTGCGGGACTTTTAACTCACTGTGGAGGTTCAGCAAAAGGCCTGACAATCAATGCTTGTTTTGTTCAGCTTGCTCTCAGTCAAGCTAGGCCCCAGGAGGATAGGTATCCATCCCCAACCCCACTGAAGCCCTCCCTTCTACGGACAAAAGGCCTCAAACTTTATGCTAGAGAGTTTCAACTGTACCCCTGACCTTTGCCAAAGCAGTGGCCAGTTAATAAAGCAAAAACACACTGCTGTCGGGGATAGATATTTTTTTTTTTGCTGCTGCTGCTGGTGGTGCTGCAGAAATGAGAGGAAGAGAAAGCTTAGAAACAGCTGCTGAGGAGGCATGCTTAGTGATCTGAGCTTCTGGAAGGACCTGATTGTCTTCATAGAGGAAAAGTCTGCTATGAGTGACAGGCTCTGCACAGGATGAGTGGGGGAGTGAGGCTGATATTCTGAGGCTGCACAGGAATTCTAAAATGTCATCAGTCCTAAGAAGTATGTCAGAGATTCTGATTACCATGCCACCTAATACAAGGTGTGTCCTGCCTAAATGCTATTGTTTTCCCAGATATATAAGGTCTTCTTTTTGTTGTTGTTGTTGTTGTTGATTGTGGGGGCTTGAACTCAGGGCCTGGATGCTGTCCCTGAGCTTTTTCTCTCAAGGCTCTACCACTTTGAGCCACAGCTCTACTCCCAGTTTTCTGGTGGTTAACTTTCCTGCCTGGTATGGCTTCAAACCATAAACCTCAGATCTCAGCCTCCTGGATGCCTAGGATTACCAGCTTCTCAGTAGTCACCAGTGCCTGAATAAGGTTTTCTTTTGACACTATCTCATTTGTGTGTGTGTGTGTGTGTGTGTGTGCGCAGATACTGGAGTTAAAACTCAGGGCCTGCGTGCAGTCCCATAGCTTTTGTTGCTAACGGCTACCACTATATTACTTGAGCTACACCTCCACTTCTGGCTTTTTGCTAATTAAGTGAAGAGACTCATGGACTCTGCCAGGGCTGACTTTGAACTGTGATACTAAGATCTCAAATTTCCAAGAAGGTAGGATTACAGGTGTGAGCCACTGGCACCTGGTTTACCATCTAATTTAAAAAATATGATCCTCAGACCACTGGCATTGAAACTACCTTAGACTTTGTAAAGGTGCAGATTCTTTCATCTCTTTTTAATATGATAATCAGAACTACAGGGAAAAAGACTTCGGTCTTCCCCGAGGAGAGTATTAGCATCTTAGACACACAGGACTCCCTCTGGTTCACCCTGTAGTGGCCTACCTTGGAAACCATAGGTCATTTCCTTACCTGCCTTCTCTCCCTACCATCACAGTGCCACATCATAGGAAAACTCCAAAAGAAAAAAGAAAAAAACAACAACTTATGGTCAAAATCAGCTAGCTTGGAAGTCTGAAGGACTGACTCCTGCCTATTCCCCGAGGTCAAGCACGACACCAGGTGCACACAAACATGCTTGACCACATGCCTGTCTGCAGGCAGGTTCCAATCAGGGCCTGGCCAAGGACACTGCCGCTGGTGACCAGGGGACAATCGCTGCTCAAACCAGGTGGAGCATTCCACTCTGGGCCTGGCCAAGGACATCGCCCTGGGCCCCCAAGAGACCATAACCCATTTTTATTTTCTGCTTCCTTGTTAAACTCTAGATAAGCTCACCCTAACATCTAGCCCCTTGCACAACCTCCAAACCTGTGGGAAAGTCTGTGTCCCTCACTGGCAATAAACAGTCCTTGCCTATTAACAATCAAGTCCAGCCTATTCCATTTCTGTTCTCCTCCATTTTCCTAACAAAGTCCAAATGTGGCTCAAGTGGTAGAATGCCAGCCTTGAGCAAAAAGCCAAGTGAGAGTTCAAATCCAGTATTCACACACACACACACAAATAACCAGCTAGTCTGTTTTAAGTTCATTTCACTCTAGGGAATGAAATCACTATCACCTCTGCCTAAAAGGAAGCAGAATAAAAAGCAGAGGGAGGAACCTGGTAATATTTGGCTATGAGAAAGTCACCAGATAAAGAAAAGGACAACTTCAAAGTGGGCAGAAGAGCCAGGTGCCAGTGGCTCATGCCTGTAAGCAATCCTAGCTAAAGGAGACAGTCTTCAAAGCCAGTCTAGGCAGGGAAGTTTGTGAGACTCTTATCTCCAATTATCTACTCAGAAAAAGCTGGAAGTGGAACTGTGGTTCAAGTAGTTGAGTTCTAGCCTTGAGCAAAAGAAACTCAGGGATAGCACCTAGGCCCCAAGTTCAAATCTCAGGACAAGTGGAAAAAAAGGGCGGGGGGGGGGGGGTGGGAACAGAAGAAAAGCCAGGGATTACAACGAATGATTGTTGCAGTAAAGTACAATTTGGGAAAGGAACTACTTGTAGCAAAAATATGCAAGGATAAAGTTGGGCTCTGATGGCTCTACACGTCTGTAGTTTCTAATCCTAGCGACACAGGAGGTTGAAATCTAAGGATCACAGTTCAAAGCCAGCCTAGGCAGAAAAGTCTATGAGACCTCTTACTTACTAACAAAAAGCTAGAAGTGGAGGCGTGACTCAAGTAGAAGAGTGCCAGCCTTGAGAAAAAAAAAGCCAAGTGTCAGCTTGAGGTCCTGAGTTCAAGCCCCATTACTGGCACCTAAAAAATAATCAAACAATAACAAAATCCTAACAGTGTGACTACTTATGGTTAGCAATGTTCACAATTCACATTGCATTTTCCTAAGAGTGGCAGTGCCTTGGTGCTTTGCTTTATCACATGGTAACTAAAAGAGATGGGTTTGGACCCATGTGCTTTCCCACAGCCTGCCCTCCTCTGCTACCCATCCCTCACTGGGCTCACGGGGGCCAGGGTTAAGGGGGGTTTCCAGACACACACCCCTCTTTTGATCTTTTTTACCAAGATCATTCCTTACCATTAAGCCCAAAGCCTTCACAAGACATAATTCTCCCATGCTTCTGACCACCTATTAACAGGAGCCAATCCTTCCCAGATCAAAAGATCTGCCTGAGAACTGACAAAGCACATGCATTCATTGTGTGAGCAATCACTTCACATCATCCTCGGCCATGTGGGTCATGCGCTGTCTCAACTTGCTTTCCTCCAAAGTAAGGTGCAGCCTCAGCACTCTTCCCATTTGGGGCCAAAGTTCTTTGCTGTGTGAACCTTGCTCAGTGTTGTAAGGTATTTTGCAGTTCCCTGGCTAATGGTACCCCCACAAGCGTGGCTACCAAAAATGCCACCAGACATTGGCAGAATTGACACCTACTAAGGTTCACATGGGAGTATGTGCAGCAGAACCATCCAGATGATGTAAAAATCCATAGTCTACCACTCAGTAAGCTAAGGCTGACACCATGTGTCTGCAACAAGCTGACGGCAGTAGCTGCTATTGCTAATGATAAAGGTAATGATGATGGTGATGATGGTAATGACGGTAGGCCTACACTTTGGGAACAACTTCTCAGCTGTATCTCCTAGGGTGGCCGCATGCTGAAATCATCCATGCAGCTTTGTGTGTGTGTATGTGTGTGTGTGTGTGTGTGCGCGCGCGCGCGCGCGCACATGCTGGGACTAGGGCTTGAACTCAGGACCTTGTGTTTTCACTCAGCTGTTTTACCCAAGGCTGGCACTCCAGCACTTGATCCATACCTCCAGCTCCCAACCACAGAGCTTCAAACTAGTTCCAACTAAATCATCCTCACTAAAGATGCTATTCATGTTTCATCAGTTGTAAGCTCCATGAATGAGATTAAAAACCACTAATTTTAGATGTGGAAACTTGTTCTAGAACCTCAAACTTCTTAAGCAACCTGATATTAAAGGCATTCTTAGTAGATACATTGTTTATTTTAGACTATTTGAAAACTCCTGTCTAACATCACCAGGAGAAAGGGTTCTGGACAAAACTTGTGGGCTGAGACCATCTTATTCATGAGTAAATTTAGGACAAAAAACAAGTTTGAGCCAGATACTGGTGGCTCATGCTTATAATCAAGAGGCTGATATCTGAGGATTATGGTTGCAAGCTACCCTGAACAGAAAAGTCTGTGAGACTCTTATCTCCAGTGAACCAGCAAAAAGCTGGAGTGGAGCTGTGGCCTAAGTGGTAGAGTGTGAGCCTTAAGTAGAAAAGGCCAAGCAAGACTGTAGAGCCCTGAGTTTAAGACACAGTACTGGCCAAAAATCAATCAATCAATCAAAACTTCATGTTATGGCCAAACTAAGAATCTGGAGTCCCCTCTTCTATTTCTGTTCCGTTTCTATTATCTTAAAGTGAAGCTGCATCTTTTAATCAGAAAAAGTGACACATTTACCTTCAAACACTGCCCAGGTCTTTTGCTTCTTCTCAAAGGATGAATCTTCTGAAGCTTTGAGGGAAAACACTGGAAGAGACAAAAGGAAAAAGTCAGTATGAAATGTAGAGGCTTATGGTACTGGTCCCCACCCTATATAATGCCATGAACTTAAATTGATAAAGTGATGATCACACTGGTAAAAACACATATCAAGGGAAGATATAATATCATATACTCAACAGCTCTGAAAGTGGGTCCCAGGAGAAGGAAAGTAAGCTGTCTGTGTTTAAATCAGTAAATGCAGCCAGTGGTTCATGCCTGTAATCCTAGCTACTCAGGAGGCTGAGATCTGAGGACCGTGGTTCAAAGCCAGCCCAGGCAGGAAAGTCCATCAGACTCTTATCTCCAATTAACCATCAAAAAGGTGGAAGTGGAGCTGTGGCTCAAAGTGACAGAGTGCTAGTCTTGAACAAAAATGCCCAGGCCCTGAGTTCAAGCCCTACAACTGACAAAAAAAGAAAGAAATCAACACTCTTGACAAGATGGCACCTTGCAATCCAGCCAAATCCGCCATTTCACTGAGACAACTCTGGAAACCAGATTTTCTCTTTCCTAGAATAGCCAGGTATTACATTCTCATGCTTGTAATCCTAGCTACTCAGGAGGCTGAGATATGGGGAATCATAGTTTGAAGCCAGCCTGGGCAGAAAAGTCTGTGAGACTCTTATCCCCAACTAACCACCAAAAAGCAAGAAGTAGAACTGAAGCTCAAATGAAAGAGCACTAGCATTGAAAAAAAGCAAAAAAATCTCAGAGACCATGCCCAGGCCCTGAGTCCAAGCCCCAGGACTGTATACACACATACACACATACACACACACACACACACACACACACACACACACACACACACACACACACACACTCACAGGTGCTAGTGGCTTATGCCCATAATCCTAGCTATTCAGGAGGCTGAGATCTGAGGATTGTGGTTCAAAGCCAGCCAAGGCAAACAAATCTGAGAGACCTTTATCTCCAATTAACCACTACAAAACCAGAAATGGAGCTCTGGTTCAAGAGGTAGAGCACTATCTTGAGCAAAAACCAAGTGTGAAAGGCCCTGAATTCAAGCCCCAGTACTAGTACCAAGAAAAGTATATTTAAAAAATGTTTCCAGATGTTAGTGGCTCATGCCTGTAATCCTAGGAGGCTGGGATCTGAGGATCAGTTCAAAGCCAGCCCAGGCAGGAAAGTCCGTAAGACTCTTACCTCCAACTAATTACTAAAAAGCCGGCAATAGAGCTGTAGCTCAAAATGGTAGAGCACAAAAAGCTCAGAGAAAATGTCCAGGCCTTGAGTTCAAGCCCTGGGACCTGCACCAAAAATAAAGAAAGAAAGAGAGAAAGAGAGAGAAAAAGAGAGAGAGGGAGGGAAAGAGGGAGGAAGGAAGGAAGGAAGGAAGGAAAGAGAAGGAAAAGAAAAAAGGAAGAAAGAATAGAAAAGAAAAAAAACAAACAAAAATGTCAGTCAATGGCAAAGTCAAGATACACTTCCATCAAGCACCATTTGCTTCATATACTTGGAAATGTTATATTACCATTCCAATGAAAGTCTTCCTACAATCTGACATATTACACAGAAGAGTTGTATATGATGGCTCCTTCAGTCACCCTGAATACCATCTCCCATGCAACAGTTTTACAGAACAGCAGGGTCTGGATTCTGATGTTATTTAGTCTTCTTTGAGTTGGTGATTGACCAGCAAATTTACTGTGCCAGCTTCCAAAAGGCAGGAAACAGAGCTTAGTTCTACAGTGTCAAACCTAGAATGTAACACTAGAGGAAGAGATCCATCACAAGTAAAAACCCAAAAAGTAAACTAACAAACCTGCAGGGAATGAAATTATTGCTAAATAGAAATCTCTAAGAGGTTGGAAATGTTCTGTAACCACACTGTTGAACAGTGTACAGTTGGTCACAGGTAGCTTCTGATTACTTGAAATGTGACTAGTTTGACTAAAGAACTGAGTTTGAAATCAAATTAAATGTTAATTCATTTACATTTAAATGGCCACATATAGTCAGTGTTGTTGAAGAACTTGAGACCAGAGAATCTAGGGCTGGACATTTCTTTTTTGAAAAAAAGGATCGTTGAAAAGAGGAGGGATGAGCATATAGTCATAATATAATAGCTAATGCAACCAGGTAACTTGAGGGAATGAGTGGGGTTGGGAGAGATAGAAGAACTATGAATGGGTGACTTAGATCAAAATGCATTGTACTATAGAACGCAAACAAGCTTATAGTAAAACCGCCAGAACAGCCGTGTTCATTGTAGCACTATTTACCATAGCCAAGATATGGAATCAGCCTAGATGCCCCTCAATGGATGAATGGATCAAGAAAATGTGTTGTATACACACAAAGAAATTTTACTTATCTATTAGAAAGATGATATTGCATCATTTGTAAGGAAATGGAAAGACTTGGAAAAAATATTGAATAAGCCAGAAAAACAAAGGTTGCACCGTTTCCCTCATATGCAGTAGATAGAATGTATGTATAATCTATAAGTAATCATACTGGGTGATATGCAAGTGGTTACAAATGAATGACTCTATGGAGAGCTCAAATAGTATAATCTTTAGAAAGACTAGATCAAAGCCCAACAAAATCAGGTCCAGGAAATTGGTACATCATGTAGGTGTGGAGCCAACGTGAGAGGGGCAGATGAATGAAGGGCAGAAAATGGGGAGAATGCAGCCAAGAACTCATTGTATATACTATAAAACTATGAAAAGTAAGGGAAGGAGTGGGCCGAAGGGGGGTGAGAATGTGGAAGGGGAGATAAAGATCAAGATGCACTGTATTCATAAACTGCTTTGGTAAATGGCACCTCATCTGCATAATCACTTAAAGATAATAAAAATTGTATGATATGTTGAACCAAAATTCCTTTGTACAACTACTTAAAGATAGAATTAGTACAAGAGGAAAGCAATGTGGCAAAGATGACCTGAGACTTCAATTAGTGCAATTTTTTTGTATAATAATACAAAACTCAAATAATATGAAACTCAATTCTGAATTTTCTTCCTGTGCTTATGCTAAATATTTTCTATTGATTTGTCTTCCAGATCCCTAATCTTCTTTTCAACTAAGTCTATCTGCTATAAAAGCCACTTCATTGTATTTTTAATTTTCATTTATTGCATCTTTCAGTTCTAAACTATTCATTTAATTGATTTTCTTATAACCTTGTCATCTGCAGCTTGTCATCTAATTTCCTAACCATATTAATCATAAAATTTAAATGGCCATCCCTGATAACTTTCATGCCTGCATCATCCATAGACTTGTTTCTATCATCTGTTTTTGCCATCTCCCTTGACTGACTAATTGAAAATCAGACATTATTAGATAGAAAATCATGAGAGTACTAGATAAAAATTTTAATTTTCTGGTGGAAAGTTACAGGTGGATGATTACATTAATCTAATTAAGGTTTGGACTGTTCAGGGGATTGCTTTTAAGTTTTTATAATGTCTGGTCTTTTTCTTATTTGCCCTTCCTCTCATGGGTTAGTACAAGGGAAGATGGAAGGGAGACCTGAGCTCCATTAAGCTCCAGGTCTCAAGAGGCCTGATGTGGTACTTACTACCCTTGCAGTGTATGAGCCCTACACAATCAAACCATCCTTGCCCCTTCCTGAATTGGCTTGAGTGGGTTTCCATGGCTTCAATCATTTGAGTGTATAGACAAGCTCAGCTGACAAAATCTGAGTGAAGATAGCACAGAGATAGGTAATAAAGATACCTCCAAAAAGCTTACTTTTCAGGAGGTGAAAGCAGAGTCTCGGTCTGGAAGCTCGTCACTCTTGTAGGTCAACTTCCTAAGGATGGGATTCCTGTCTATTCTTGATTGCTCTAATTTTGAACCTAGAACCAGTGTGTAATATCCACCCCTGACATGAGTGTAAATCACCCATCCTTTGGCTAAATCAACCAACTTTAATGGGCTGCTGTCCTAGCCACAGACTGGGGTTTCAGCCATCTTTCATCATCTATGATGAATGAGTTCATTGACAGTTAGGGATAGAAGGTAACAAATTCTCCCTGATATATGTACAGGGACAAGCTTTGATAAATCTCACAAACTGGAAGTCTAAGCTAATGGGGCTCTATTTAAGAGATTAATAGATGTATGTTCCTTAGGCTTTCCTCACCTTTCCTAGGGCAAACATTTGATAGGATAATATAGCAAGTTTGGCAAGGCACTGGTGGCTCACACCTATAATCCTAGCTACTCAAGAAGCTAAGATCTTAGGATCATGGTTTGAAGCCAGCTAAAGCAAGAAAGACCATGAGACTCTTATCTTCAGTGAACCACCAAAAACCCAGAAGTAGAACTGTGTCTTAAGCAGTAGAGCAAAAAAGCTCTGAACAAAAATGCTCAGGTGCAGCACATAGGCCCTGAGTTCAAGATCCAGGACTGGCATGTGCACATGCATGCACGCACATACACATACACACACACACACACACACACACACACACACACACACACACACACACACGACACTAACTGTAGTGTTGGAAGATTATAAGGAATCTTATCTTTTTTAAAAGATAAGACAATAATTGTATGGGGACACTGTCAGAGCTTGGGGAATGTTCTCAAGGTCTGCTGTAACATCTTGTGTCCTTTGCTAACCTTGAGCTATTTCTATGTGAATTTGAGATGTTGTTGAAGGATGTGTCTGAGTCCAAAGATTATAAGGAACTGGGGCTAGTGGACATGGCCAAACCCACAGCCACAAGACAATCCAAGTCTCTACTTTATTAATAGCTCCCTCCACAGCGGACTTCATGTGGTTCATACAAAATGACCTTTGTGCCAGGTATTGGTGGCTCCTACTATAATCATAGCAGGTCAGAAAGCTGAGATCTGAAAATCAAGATTCAAATGCAGCCCAGGTTGGAAAGTCTATGAGACTAATCTCCAATTAAACACTAAAAAGCCAGAGTGGTGCTGCATCAGCCTTGTGTGACTATAGCTAAGGGACAGTGCTCAGGCCCTGAGTTCAA